CGGTTCTAGGAGGCTGAGATCAGATTTCAGGAGATGTAATGGCAGGGGCCCGGAGTTTCTCGCGGTCGCTTAATGACCAGTTTAGCTGTTCGTTTGTTCGTCTTTTGTCAAAGATTCTATTGTTGTCATTGTTGCTATAGTATCATGCCAGTGATTACAAACTAAGCATTATTTAATCCAACACCTCTTGGCTCTGAAAATTATGCAGATACCTTGAGTGGTGTATGCCTTCTCCAGCCTCGAAATAAATTCTCGTCTTGAGACTCTTGAGAGGAAGGAGGGTCAATTCCATCCTCGACTTGGCAAACAAAGGAATTCGCCTAAAGGCTCGGTAGCCAAAGAAAAAAGGATCTTTTTTTTGTGCTGGGACCCTCGTAAAGAAAAATATATAAAAGACAGACCCACAAGCAGCATAGTCTGCAAAACCCACCAATGTCGCGAAAGCCCAACTTGACCAGAGGCTTGTACAATATCTGTGTCATGACAGCTAGGGAGCGTCCGATGTTCTGGCTGTCTGCGCTCCATAGTGCCCTTCCTCCAGAGCTCAGGCCCGGGACATCCCCCCTAATACCCTCGTACAACGCATAACGTTGATAGAACAAGGTACGTGAATACGATGACGCGGAAAAAAAAGATACTAACGAGCATTTGATATCCATATGTCGGAAAAAAGCCAGTTCGCTTGCAACGGCCTAAGTCTACTTAGGACCTTGAGACGGCTTCGGAGGGCTCTCAAGGCCGGGCACAGTGACTTGGAACCATGTCCAAGCTGTCTCAAGGCACAACGGCGGAGCTCCCAAGGCGTCCCAGACCGTCGTAAGGTGCCCGTGAACCAATGTAACCTTGAAAGCTCTTCAAACCAGTTCGGAGGTGCTCACGCCAAGCAATGCGGTCGATGAAATTAATTAATATTATTAGCACGAAGATACAAGCGGTGTGTGATTGGGCGGAGGTGCGTTAGCTACGAATGAGTCGTATAACAAGCAACCAGCATCAGGAGACATCTTACCAGTAAGGTGGAGCAATAACAGCATGCTACTAGCATGCTCCACTATGCTCCCCCGAACGGTATATTAAACCAGCAGCTGTGACGCCGTGACGTATCTCTCTTGCTTTCGCACCACCACCTTCTCACAGCTTCCCTTCTGTGTGTACGGTGTACCTTCACTTTTCATTATGGACAACTCATCATTCAATTGATAGATCACTCCCTCAATTCTATTGGCATGGCTATGTAGCGGGAACACCCTCAGGGTGTTCTCGGGGAGATTCGAAACAGGCTGCTTCGAGTCTCCCCGGCGACGTCCTCATTGTGGTGTGGAAGGTGCGTGATGCTTTCTGCTTATCATCACCCGCGGCTGATTCTCTCGGCGTGCGTTTATAAGCATCTACTTTGCAGCGTGCAGAGGTATGTTCATGTTTACTGGGTCTTCAAACCCCCACTGATTCGACGAGTAACAGCAAGTACATACTGATTATTCGTAGCCGTACCTCTCTACAAGCCGCTGTATTGTATAGAGAGAATTGAATACATTGTTTTTGACATTTCATTCGATGTGGATCACATATGCACAGGGAATATGAGCTATGGATGGGGTCCCAACAGTCATGTGAGATTGTAGAACCTTGAGTGTCGCTGGGAGGTCCGCTGGCACCTGGGAACCTTGAGAGGGTCTGGGAGTCTCGGCTTTCCTTGCAAGCTCTTACGGAATTCTAACCTCTGCGTTGCAAGCCACTTAAAACCATGTGGCCTTGCGGCGTCTTGGGAGGCATCCCAAGACGTTCCAAGCCAAATAGGATTTTTCCGACATATCCAGTGCTCAAACACATTATCTGCCTCGTGAACAGAGAGAATGTGTTGAAGGGCTCCACCGCCACGCCGATATCTATCCCGCGCTCAGTCTTCAAGACACACGACGGCCAACGGCCACACCTACAGTTGAGGGAAGTTGTGCTCCGGCTAGAGAACACAGTGGGACTCGATCCGGTGTACATGGGGACGGATGCGTATGAAGCAGGTGTGTGTTTTATCGGGATTATTTGCGTTGCACTCAATTGATACTCATGGCTCACCAGCATATGTTCGTATCAAAGAGGTCGAAGATTCGAACGCGGTCGCATATCGGCGGCACCAGAGCGAGACGGCGGGAGACGATGGTGTAAGCGTGCGGCCGACTCATAGGCGGGTGAGACCGCCCGCGATACTCCCTTCACGCTCGACTGGAAAAGCGAGTGTTAATTCACCTGCGATGGCATGGAAAACGGCGCGCGCCGTTCCGTGGAATCCGTTCATAAATACAACGGCTGTCAGCCGGTCCAACGCCAGAAACGGACCACACCAGACGCCGTCGACGGATGACATGTCCACTGGTGGACAAAAGGTCATTAAGCAATATCAAGTGGACCCAAAAAAAAACAGCGAAAGACTTGGGATGCTCCTCCTTATCCGTGCGACGTCGGCAGAGAACTTATCAACAAGGAACCTGATGGTTGCCTTAACTGAACAGCTTTGTGCTTGTCTCCTCCATTCACCTCCTGGGGCACCAAGCTTCACCTGAGGTGCAATGATGCTCTGCTTATCTTCTGAACTGCTTTGTGAAATTAGATGTCAGGTGCCCGCTAAACCTATACTCTCCTGCTAATCGTACATGATTTTTATTTTTATTTTTATTTTTATTTTTATTTTATGGATTACAAAAGCCTGCGATTGACATGTACTAGAGACCTTGAGTTGGCAATCCGACCACTGTTTTTCTCTTTTCTTGTCTTGTCTTGAAACTTGGGGCAGCCATGGATCCCGACCTTCTGGAGAAAATTGCGGCGGGAGAGACTGGATGGCCACGATGGGCGGCCACGATGGGCAGCAACGCTGAAGATTTCGGCAGGTGATAGTTTGGAGACCTCGTCAACGTTCGGACGCTCGGATTCAGCACCTACTGCTTGCCGCAGCCCTCTCCGCCCTAACCAGTCTCCGAGCTGTTATGTGTGTCGCGTAATTCTTGCTAAACGTGGTGTTTATTCCGTCACTCAGATGGAAGGTTCATGCCAGCGATCCCGAATGGACGCGGGACGTCATCTCCCGTTCGTTTGATATTCTCCACGTTCTAGGTAATGTTCAGCAGGAGGTTGGCGGTGGGCTCGACATCCCTCTGGGTACTCTCAGCGGCTTAATGAGGTTGAAGGTCACCTCGACATATTCCCCTCAGACGCCGCTGGTGCTCAAAATCGCCCAAATCATTGTCCAGAACCAGGCTACTCTCACCATCTTGCACATTGTTGGATCAGACGCGTGGTCTCAAATCTGGACCCTTCTCGCATCCATGCGAGGACCAAACCCAATTCAGCTCAGAGATCTAACGAACAATAATGTAACTCCTGCCCTTCTCAACTACTTGGGCTCATAGCAAGGCCAAGAACGGTTGAATTTCCAATATCCCAGTGCTGATAACCTATCCGAATCCGACCGCCTTGCGGAGATCTTTTTCAACGTGCTCCTTCCCCAGCACACACATTCGATGACGGAGCTGTCGTGTCCGGCCGGATATAAAAGCCACTGGAGCTTTGGCCCGCACAACGCCGATATTATTTCCCGCTTGCACAGGTTCACGAATATTTTATTTCTTTTAGCGACGAACACTCTGCATTTTACCTTCATTTTGCGATTTCGATCGGCACGCTTGGGCACGAAAATACGATGACGTCGCAAAGTTTTGGACTCGGTCTGATGCTCTCCGAAGCTTACTTTCCTCAGTGAAAACGATGACACACAATAATAGGGGAAGTCAGAGCAGTCTGGGAGACCGATTCGCGACCCGATTCTGATGTCGATTCACGGCCGATTCACACGACTAAATCCATCATGAATCGGGCCTAATTTTGACCGCCCCAGTTCTAGACTTGAGTCGGAGCTTGATTCTGGAACGATTCACGACACTTATATTTCTGACAAATGAACACTTGTATTATTGTATCCGAGACGGCAGAAAAATATGTACCATCACCCATCAGTCGCTTATACTCCCCATTGTGTTGCACTTATGCCCCGCCTCACAACACGCCAGCATCGTGTGCGTGACGTGCTCAAAGAAAAATTCGAGGCACCGTGAATGCTCTCGTGCATCGTAGAAAAAAAATTGGTGCACCACTTTGCACGCGCCGGCTTGACTCTGCAGGACAACAACTTCCAAAATTTCATAGCTAAGCCACGGATAAGTCAACAGGTAGGAGTAAACACAAAAAACAATTGGCACGCCACTTTGCACGCGCCGGCTTTACTCCGTGGGACAGCAAACTCCTAATTTTCGTAGCTAAGCCACGGATAAGTCAACAGGTAAGTAGGAATGAACACAATTTCGAAGCCGATTTTCATTCTGCTGTTCTCCGGAGGAGCAAGATTCAGACCGATTCGAAACTTTTGAAGCCAATTCTGACCTCTGAATCAATAGAGAGTTTGTGGTAGCCACCAGATGAAACTGGTGGCTTTTGCCACGGATGAATGGGTGGGCGGCTTCTCCTCATCTAGCCACTATCTTATGGTCTCCCTCAGAGCTACCAATAGTGGCTGTCTTGGTCCGTCAGAATTTCCCACTGTCCAGGAAAATTAGCCACCAGTCCAATCTGGTGGCTACTGCAAGCTCTCTAATATCCGATCGGCTCATGAATTGGTCTCCTCAGACCGTTTTGACTTCCCCCATGTAAAACACAAAATAATTTGGGTGAGTAACACAAAACGCCAAAAAACACGTGAAACACCGCAATCAAAATGTCCAAAGGTTGATGTGCATTACTGCAAAGGTCCCTAACAAACAAAAAATTGTATCAACATACATGTCAGCAGGAGACTCAACGGACCTCTCTAAACTCAGAAATGAGGTCCGGCTGGCCATGGGTTCCTGTAGGGGAAAATATAGTTAGGGATGTTTCGGGTACTGACAAGAACTCAAGTAGGGTAAGACAAGATACAGAACTAGGCTATAGTGGAACAAAAAACCCACAAAAAGTGACCCGACCCGGGCTCGAACCGAGGACCGCCTGCGTTACATAAGCAATGTGAAGCAGATGTGATAACCAACTACACCATCGGGCCGATGGAAACCGTCATCGTTGTGTATACATATTGAGCTTCTTGCGTAGGTCTAATCTTTGTCGCCTCCCCCGGTTCGTTAGTTGTTCAGTTGACAATATTCTCATGGTGATCTTCAGTGCCGAGTCGTACTGAGAATTTGATCGCTTGATTTTCACCGATTAAGTACACCTAACCGAAATATGTCTACATGGTCCATTCTTTTCCATGTCTTTTGCTTCCCAGTTATCTGGTTATTCCATGCAATTGGATTTCGTCAATGACATTGGTGCCGAGTTGATTTTTTTTAACCAACTACACCATCGGGCTGATGATTGTCGCCCTCCTGCGAGACTCTTCTTGTTCAATTTTTAAAGCTTTGTTCGCAGCCATTACACTAGTATGTAGCGTCGTCAGCGACTACGGTTTATGTGTGCTGATTCGATTAATCGGTAAGACCTACGATTTGGTTGGATATTTCGCCCTATGTTTATGAACCGACATCGAATGCCTTGCACCGTTGTCGGACAGCATCCGTCTTTTTGTGATTCCTCAGTTTGCCGTGTATGTTCACCCTCTAACTGTCTCTCGTTGTCCTGATCATAGACCTCGAAGACTTTTTACTGATCCTTCGCTTGCAAAGAAGTGTGAAAATTCAGAGACCGTCAATTTTTCTTCAAATGGAAAATGACATGTATAAGACGACAAAACTAGCACCATCCATCTTTGGTTCGCCGAAGCTGTCGAGTGTTTTTCATGGAGGACCGCCATATCCGTTCCAACGATTGAGGAACGCGTTGTATTCCCGCTTCAGCGTGCGCTGACGAATGCATGTAGTCACCCACATGATCGTACCACCGACGGCTCCAACGGCGAGGAGGGGTGCTACTGCACAGACGATGATTCCTGCAGCCATTCCACCTCCCACCACAGAGCCTACTCCCGCCAAGCCAGAAGTGATTCCAGCCGCACTTAGTGAACCACCGACGATCGGAACGGCAGCAACACTGGCGGACGCGGCCACCGCGGAAGCTGCGGTCGTGTCAGAAATGTGATCTCCCAGCTAAAACGTGCGTACTGGTTCGAGTCGCAATCTTAGTCGCCTTCTTCGTTTCGTCGTCGTTATCTATTGCGTTCACCAGCCGGTTGATGGTTTCGGCTCCAACTGCGGCGGGAGCGACGCTGATCACTGCGATACCACCCATGGCAGTGCCGCCCACAGCAGCAAGCCCGTTCATAAGGGCAGCACCACCCCAAAGTCCCGGCGCAGCTGCGGCGAGAACGATGGATGGAGCGGAGGCCGCCCACATAGCTGCCGTCGCCGCCATGGAAATCCCAAGTGCTTCCATAACCTGACTCCCCAGAGGGGCCTGAATAGCGAGCCTGGCCGTCTGGACGAGATGGTTGGGAAGGATCGAGAACCGTTGAACTGGGTTCCCTGGCCAGGGAACTAGGAGCATTGGCAGATTGACGCTGACGCAGAGTGTAACTATATGGATGTTATTGGTAGTATCGATGCGCATTATCTGAGCGTAATGTATGTGCCCCGGCGCCGGTTGATTGGGAGTTGTTAGGGCGTAGACGACATAGGTACCAACAGAGGATGGCATTTGGGCGAAGAGTGAGACCGTAGCCAGACCCACTGAGGATAGTGCTGTTGATATACTCCGACAGATAGCGCGCAGAGGGTGAGACGAGTCAGAAGCGCGGAAAAGAAATTTCATCGTCGTGGGACAGTCCTATGGACTGTGCGCAAGAATTGAGACCCGCGGAGGATAGTGCTGTTAACATACTCCCACAGATAGCGCGGAGAAAGTGAGAAAAGCCGGAAGCGCGGAAATGAAATGCCATTGTGATGGGACGGTCCCATAAATTATTGAGACGCGTTGAGGACAGTGCTGTTAATATACTCCCACAACGATCGGTGATCGAGTTGGTGGGAAGGACGAATTTGCCTGCGAATCAGCATTGAACTCCGCGTTTGGAGGAACATGATACCTGATCCGCGGCTTGAAAGTGAAGGTGTGAATGGCAAGTCTGTGCGTATAAGGGACCGGTTCAAACAAAAGTTTGACAGACAAAAATGATCGCTACAAGAGCCCGGAGCAAGGTAAGAATACTCCGAGCGAATATAGTCATCGACGTACATAGATCGCGGGACATACAGGTAAGAGGCGCCGTGCCATAATGTTGCGTGACTTGCGGATTGCTTTTTGGGGGCATATGGGGGGCTGATACCTAAGAAGCCAGGACGGCCAGGATATGCATCGGGCAAGAGTACAGGTCCCAGAATCAGACAGACCATCGACTGGCAATACAGAAGTTGCAAGAAGCAGCAGAGTGCAGAATGGACTGAGTCAATCCGATCCAGACGTCGATCGGAAAGCCGCGGGTGGACAAGGGAGTGTGTCGTACTGCGGCACAGTAAACACATGCTGTCTTCTGTTCACCTCTGCAGCTCGACGGTCCCAATCCGGGCGATCTCCAACAGCTTCACAGCTGTTCCGCGGGTGATGACATCGCAAATCATGTATTCAGTGAGAAATTCCGCACTGTAAGTGGCGGATTCAGGACTGGCTCTAGTGGTTAGGGTCGTGTCATGGATGAATGAGACCGAGATGAGAGACGGTAGGAAGGGGTTAACTGTATGGAATGACTGATTTCAGGATAGACCGCTACCTGACGCTGTCGACGATGAAGATCGCCCTGCCTCTGGCGATATATTTGTCCCCTGAGCAAGTAAGGCGAATTTCGCATTCAAAAGCAAGGTGCAACGCTGCGCAGTATCAATAGATTCGCGCCCCCGGACAGCGTCCCGTCGGAGAAAAAAATAGTGGATGGAAAGATATCTGCTAAATCAGATTCTTCAGGTCGGCGCGAGATGTCGCCGACCTTGTGTGGGACTACGCCGACGGACTCGACTTCAAGCGAACTTGACGGAAAGCTATTCAAGTTGCACCGAGACGGCGGGGTGCAACCGGGGCGTCGTCTTCAAATTTCAAGACTGCGTCCGTAGCGAGGGATTGACGTCGACTGGAACGTTCTCTGGCGCTTCCTGAGCCTCCTGCGCTTGGGGTTGCTTTTTCGAAAGAGTGTGGAGCCATGTACTCACGGTGGTCGAAGGGTGAAGGTCAGTCGACAGTCTTTGAGGAATATTTGAGCGACTGGATGCAGCCGTAGGAGCAATACATCAGGACCAGTCCGATTTACTGGAGAATGTGGCGTGGGCGGGGGTACATGGGAGGAAGCGCGCTCGATTCAGGTGAAGGGGAAAGAGATAGCGGAACGGATGGTTACAGAGACGCCCACGAGTGAGCGCATTGGTAGGATTATGCGAAAGAGGTCGGAATTCTAGGGTAAGTAAATAGGTTAGATGGGTATCGGCCGCTTGCTTATCCATCGAAGAAGGCTCTATTCCAGTTTGCCTAGCTCTTCTAAACGCAAGAGCACGACATCCTTGCTTGTTTCCTGAATTTCTCCCGCAAGGAATACTTCGTCCAGGATTGCGTAGACCTTCTCGGAGGATTAGACACTTCGATAATACAGATCAACCACTGACTTTGTAGAAGTTGAACACCAAGTCTAATTCGTTTACATTTTCGAAATAGTTGTCTGGCGAGGGGATTTCATCAGTCTTTTGCTCACCGCGCAATGCCGCACAATTCACCTAGGACTTCCACAAAAAAATGAATGGCTTCGAGATACGCAAGCTCGTTGTCGTTTGCATCGACGCAAACGCAGAAGAAGAGGCCTGCGTACCGACGATAGACAATCTTGTAGTTGCGGAACTGCCACGGAATGAAATTCAGCTTCACACGGACGACGTTTGACGGGCGAACCTCGACAAAGTTGGACTGGTATCTTTGATCCCTGGAGCTTACAGCTCGATGGACTTCTCCTCGAAGGCGCACCTGAGCCACAACGCTGAGCATAAATCACGTCGGACATTCGTATGGGGCCCCACCTTTTCGTCATCCTCGTAAGGGACGTACCACTTGGACAACCGCGTTTTCCCTTGTCGGTTCTACGAATAAAGATATGTTTAGGGTCAAATCGCAAGAAACCATTTGGATCTGACCTGCACAAGGATGAACCTGATCATGGCGGAAAATAAGAAGACGGTCTGCAGCGGAATGAACACGTGTTTGATAATTAGTAATGTGGGCGATCCGAACTGTTATCCCCATTCGAGGCCTTGTGTTGTGGAATAAAATCCCAAAATATGGAACGCTTCACCCGCTGAACTCCCATTGAAATACGTCATTGATGATTGCGTACCGACTTGCTCTTTCGCCACGAGCTAGGGTCAGCTTAGGTGGTTCCCCATGGGGTAGCTTTGCTCCATTCATCTTGTCCGCTACCGCCATGTCCACTCTTTGAGGTTGCCAGTTCTGGCGTCTCCACCACCTAGGTACGTCGATCTTTAAGTTGTCGTATATATTCTAGGAGTTTATCTTAATCTGTCTCAATTTCTTCACGCCTCCCCCTGCTGCCACCAAATTTTCCGCCGTTATCGGTGTTCTTATATCAAACGAGGTACGAGTTAGAACTGATATATAGCGTCTGTCAAGAGAGACTAGTGTCCTGCGGCTGGCGCACAAGTACAATTTCCGATATCTTCTCTTTCGACGGCCTCCATCCCACCTGGGATCCATATACCCTGCCAATTTCCTGGGTTTTATCGACTTTAATCATGGGGCAACAGATGTCCATGTCTCTTTTCCGTCCGGCATCGGCATAGATGTCACCGCACTTCGGGTCGTCTCAGAAGTTGCCACACTCTGGTTCTTTCTGCGGTCTACTGCAATATATGTCGATACCCGCTTCCGGGGAATTTTTTGCCGCTGGAGAATATTGGACTCGCCTGCCAGGTGTACATGACCAACAAACGTGCCTGAGATCCCAGGTGGAATTCGTCCGAAGTTTCTCTCGAATTTTCCCGACTAGTCCTGCACGGAGATGTACGAACCGAGCGGCTCCGACGAGGGGGATCTGGAGCCTCTCGACCACTGGGTGCTACGCAT